GCAAGGGAGAACCAACCCTACGGAATGGAGTTCAGGCCTTCTGATTTAGCATTTTTTTTAAGAAATTCCATGGACAAACAGAGTAGAAAGCCCTCTTCTTCTACATTGATGATACTACTCTCTCGGCGGAGGTCGCTGGTCACCCACGGGAATACCACCACCGGCTGGCGGCGCTGGCTATCACAGCCATCGCAGCAAGCGTTGACCAGGATCGATGTCGTGCCAGTGCAGGTGATTGGGCCGCGAAGCAAAGGGCTGTGGCGGGAGGCGAGTTTGTGGAAGGAGGCAGGATTCCATTGGTGAAAGGGATGGGGATGAACAACGGGATCTAGCCACACAAAGTATCTCCATCGTTAATCAGTTTAGGACACGAGTATCTCCATTGCCCTGGTAGGGCACTGGTCCTTACAGCCACATCCCAAGGCAACTTTAAATATAGGGAGTACCTAGAACTCATCTAGATGAGACGTAATTTGGTCTCATTCACCTGGAAAACAAGAACGGATACAACCCACGTCAGCACACACACATCTTATAACACCACATTCAATGGCTATAAAAGATGAATGAGACCAAATTAAATCTCATCTAGATGAGTTCTAGCAAAACTGTTAAATATATTGTCCACAACAAGCCCTGCGGCAAAAAGATACATCATAGGTGCAGGCAAATACTAGAAATTAGTAAGCTGCAACCAAGAGATGATCTAGAGCACAAGATTTTAACATAAGCACCTCTGGAAGGTCTCGAAGCGTATCAAACGGTGGTCCCTCTGAGTCATCACAGATGTAGTCGGACATAACTCCACAGAACATAATGCGACACATTTTAAACCGATCAGTCGCTGTGATTCCGTTGGCATGGTTTGCTCAACGGTTCAAACTAACGATCTGCTATTCTGCTACTGCTGCTGCTGCTGCTGCCACTTCAGCGGAGTTTCCATGAATCCGGATGGCAATGATCCACCACTGTAGTTGCGAAGTCGATGATGTCCCCATCATCCTGAACTGCAATGGACATGCATAAACCCAATTAAACTTAATTACTCTAATAAATAGTACTCCTATCAAGATAGCAGAGCAACCGGAGTGGATCTTAACGTCCATGTATTTTAAGCGGAGTAACATGGAGAGGAATATACTCATACCTGGCCGGAATTGCGGACGGACGGGGTTGGGCCAAGAGCAAAGTGACGAGGAACCACTATGGTGGGTGGCTGCCGCCAGACATGGAAGTCGTCGCCGGATTGGGAGCGACGGTGACCGGACCGTGCTGTGGCGGGAGGGGGTGAACGACGGGATCTGGCGGTGGTGGTCTGGTGGGGCGGCGCCGCAGCATGGTCTCTCGATTGTGTGAGAGAAGGGAGGGCCAGATGGATTGGGCTTACCCGACGCTAGACGGGTGCATATGGTCCAATCAACCAGAAAACTCAGATTTTTCTACTGGAGTAGCTGCCCTCTAGGACAGCCAGCCCGTTCGCAAGAAAACACGTGATTAGGCAGCAATTAATGGCCAAAAACCAATCTGGAATTATAGTATTTCTCACTGTTCTCTGAATTATTTGGGATAGTTCCATACCATGGTCGTTATCCACATCTATATAACTTAAGTTTTGTGCCTACGTATATTGTCGATCAAATTTTTTGTAACTCTTGCTTGCCTAAAATCGCCTGATATACTAAACTTAAAATCGCTATCAGACGAATATGTAATTCAAGAAGAAAATCTTTCGGCGAATGAATACATGTATACATTTTGCAATAATAAATTGTTAAAAATAGAATTTTTCTTCTAATTCGAACACCGCATTGGGTACATGAATAGCTAAAGTTAAAATTTAGGTTTGTAAATGAACTCCGTTTGAAAGCCTTGATAACTAAGTCCAGAATAAACTATATCTTTTTATATTCTTATTAGTTGTACAAAGAATATGACTCTTTATACTTATGAAATATTATATAAAACTAAACTCAGTATTCTATTTCATATCTTAAGTGAAATAATTAAGTAGCTGATATCAATATATATATATATATACATATGGTGATGAAATAATTCATATTATATACACAAAATTCGAAATGAGAAATACATGGAAATTATCAATATTTGTTTTCGTATATAATATATGAAATCCATCTATAACCATAATCTTGAAAACTATTATGCAATTTTTTGGATTCCCTTTCTTTGACAAAGAATATTCGCGAGAGAAGCAAAACCGCGGCGTCCTCAAAGGTATCGTCATGCATTTGGCTGGATCTACTCATGATAAATCGTATACCCCAAGCTTGATGTGTGTCAACGTAAAAACATTTTGATAGGACAACAAAGAGTGCACATGATTAGAATAGAGGCGAGCATAAGTATTCATGAAATGTTGTCATAGCTGATGTTCAAACTACTAAGTGAGTCCGAGAAGAAGCAAGCAATATATGCATGTACAAATAACGCATAGAGCATGAGTAAGAAAAAAAATATGTCATGTGTGCAAGTGAGTATCATATGACAAATGAATACCACGTTGTTACAATAGCAAAAAAACATAGAAGATAAAGATAATGCTGACTATGTAATTGATCATTTATGTCGTTCTAAGTATTATAGTTTTATGTGAATAACATTCACATGGATGGAGAAAATAGAAAGGATGATGAATAGAGTGGGGGAGAGTGCTTAGAAATGTTAGTTTTGTTATCAAGGATTTTGCAATATATGTAAAAGAAAAGTATATACAAATTCTAGCCGCGCAAATGCACAGGCCACGCTGCTAGTTCCTGTAAATTAAAGGAGGCCTGGAGGGAAAACCGATGCGGCCGTGTTCATGTGTCCCGCGCGCAAGTGAGGCGTAGTAAACCATGCTCTTTTTTATGTGCGAGATAGTAAAGCATGATTTCGATTTGCTCAACTGAAAGAAATGCTACTCCCTCTCATCCGTATCAATGATTTACTCGATTTTTAGACCACAGAAGCACTTCGTCGGGGCGTGGTTTTCAGAGCGGATCCTCCGTGTGTCCCACAGGATACGTCCCGAGATGCCGCCGGACGGCGACCTGTGACGCCGACGCCCGCCGTGCGCCCACAGACCCACCGCCGGCGCTGTGGCATCCAGTTGTCCACCGTTGGCAGCGACACGGCCAGCCACCGCGGGATCTGCCGTGCGCTGCGTTCACGGCGGGCGCACCACGCCGATGCCGCCCTCGCTCTGCCCTCCGACGAGGCCGAGAGCGCCGCGCGTGCGGCCAAAGGTGCCGTTGAGCCGTGCGTGCGTAGGCCAAAGACAAAGAGAGAGCGCGCATCTCCATGCCACCCCCAGAATGATATTGTACCGGCGCGGCCGTTCACGTGAGTGCGTCCCCGTGGGCGGGTCGCATCGCGGCCGTCGATGGGATCGGACGGCCGGGCGAGGCGTATAAATCCATCCAGGTCACCCCGACCCCAAACCCCTCACCAACCACCGGCAGAAGAGAGAGCCGCCCTTCGCTCCCCCCAGAGGCCAGAGACGGACACGATGGCGGCGCCCACCTCCTCCGCGGCATCCACCCTCGCCCCCTTCTCCCACCCCAAAACCCTAGCCGCCGCCACCGCCGCCGGAGGCTCATCCTCTGTCGCCTTCTCTCCGGCCGCCTCCCACCCCGCATGCGCCCTATCAGTCTCGGGCGCCCGCCGCCGCGCGGTCGCCGCCATGGTCGCGGCCCCGGCCAAGGTCGGCGCCGCCATGCCGTCGCTCGACTTCGACACCGCCGTCTTCAACAAGGAGAAGGTCTCCCTCGCCGGCCACGAGGAGGTACGTACGCGCCCCCGCCCCCACTCCATCTCTCGCTCCTCACTCCCACCTCCGGGCTTGCTTTTTTGCTCTGGATTCTTACGATTTGTTCCGTGTGCGGCTGCAGTACATCGTGAGGGGCGGGCGCAACCTCTTCCCGCTGCTCCCGGAGGCCTTCAAGGGCGTCAAGCAGATCGGGGTCATCGGATGGGGCTCCCAGGTCCAGTCTCCAGCTCTGCTTTCCTCCCCTCTATGCGCAGTTTCTTTCCTCACTCGAGAGATTTACATGTCTGTCTACTCGAGACACTGCTTGGATGTACACATCAGTCGGTGCGGTCAAACGGAGTGGCTGATTTCACAGATTTGCTCTGTTCTGCCACTTGGTAGGTTCAGAGTTTGCAGGTCTGTCTGCTGGCTCTAACAGATTTTTCTCTATGGTGCTTTTGCAGGGTCCGGCGCAGGCCCAGAACCTGAGGGATTCCTTGGTGGAAGCCAAGTCTGACATCGTCGTCAAGGTTAGCTGTTCTCATGTACAAGTATCCAGCTTTAGACATGGGATTGAGTTTTCACTATGTGTTTAAGTGAAAAGCTCTGACTGAAGCTTTGGCTTGCAGCCCTGAGTGGAAAGAAAACCCACAGCTAATGCTTATTGTTTTCTTTAGCTTTCTAGTAATTTATCACTCGTTTACCTTTGATGTTATACAACTTGGAATATGCAAATTGTGTGCCAGCTTATATTCTGTCTCATTTGGTAGGTACTTTGGCACTACCATGTCAGTTGTTCAATAAGCTGTCTTTTTTGCTTTCAGATTGGCCTCAGGAAAGGTTCCAAGTCTTTTGAGGAAGCACGTGGTGCTGGATTCACCGAGGAGAACGGAACCTTGGGAGACATATGGGAGACGGTCTCTGGCAGTGATCTTGTGCTGCTGTTGATCTCAGATTCTGCCCAGGTGTGCTTCACTTACGCTCAATAGCTTTCTGCATGATTTTAAGCTTTCCTTTGTTAATTGTTTGTTTAGATCAGGCTCAGCTTCAGGATGATGTTTCTTTGCATCCTGTTGGTTTAATTAATTAATTAATTTAACTTGCATGTTCTGCCTGGAGCATACGTACTATCTATCATTCACTGCATGATACATTTGTCTGAGTCCCACCATCACTTTATTCTATCCTTGTAATTAAAGTTCTCATTTACTTTCTGCAGGCAGACAACTATGAGAAGATCTTCTCTCACATGAAACCAAACAGCATTCTTGGTTTATCTCACGGGTTTCTCCTTGGACATCTGCAATCACATGGCCTTGATTTCCCTAAGAACATCAGCGTGGTTGCTGTATGCCCCAAGGGAATGGGTCCATCAGTTCGGAGACTGTATGTTCAGGGCAAGGAAGTAAATGGTGCTGGCATCAACGCTAGCTTTGCTGTTCACCAGGTATGGTATTTTGCTGACTTCTCAACTATCAATTTGGTCTGAAGGCATGCAGCTATGCACTGAGCACCCGTGTGTGTTTGCTCTTTTTGATGTATAGGATGTTGATGGAAGGGCCACTGATGTTGCTCTTGGGTGGTCGGTTGCACTAGGATCCCCGTTCACCTTTGCTACCACTCTAGAACAGGAGTACAAGAGTGATATCTTTGGGGAGCGAGGTGAATCTCCTTTTCTTCTTTGTGACTTTATGTTGCCTGTTATGATTGTGCTGTTGCTAACCAGTTTTTGTCCAGGAATTTTGCTGGGTGCTGTTCATGGCATCGTGGAGGCTCTGTTTAGGAGATACACAGAGCAAGGAATGGACGAGGAGCTGGCATACAAAAGCACTGTGGAGGGCATCACTGGAATTATCTCCAAGACCATCTCAAAGAAGGTATGCCTTGATTGAACTTTTTGTAACCACCTTTAATCTTTGCTTATCAGTCCAATTTGCCCCTTCTTACCAGGGGATGCTTGAAGTATACAACTCCTTGAGCGAGGAAGGCAAAAAGGAGTTCAACAAGGCATACAGTGCATCATTTTACCCTTGCATGGACATACTCTACGAATGCTACGAAGATGTTGCCTCTGGAAGTGAAATCCGGAGTGTTGTGTTGGCTGGTCGGAGGTTCTATGTAAGTTCTTCTGCTGTTAAAACTGCAACCTTCCAATCCGATTCTGTTCATGATTAGGTTTGGGGTGTGGACACCAAATAAGACAGGGTGATTATTGATTCACACCATCTCATTTTCTTTATGCTTGCACAGGACAAGGAAGGCCTTCCTGCTTTCCCTATGGGCAAAATCGACCAAACTCGGATGTGGAAGGTTGGCGAAAAGGTGCGCTCGACCCGGCCAGATGGTGACCTTGGCCCTCTCCACCCCTTCACGGCTGGAGTTTATGTTGCACTTATGATGGCCCAGGTCAGGCTCCTCTCCACTCAGTTACATATTATACCAGTACACTAGAATACGATGGCTTGACATCTTATTCAAGTCGATGATGATGTGTAAGCTGTAGATTACACTTCCTGAATGATTGATTACTCTACATGAAACGAAAGCAATTACTGATCTTTCCTGTTTCCCTTTCTAAACTGCAGATTGAGGTGCTGAGGAAGAAGGGGCACTCCTACTCTGAGATCATCAACGAGAGCGTGATCGAGTCGGTGGACTCGCTGAACCCGTTCATGCACGCGCGAGGGGTGGCCTTCATGGTGGACAACTGCTCGACGACGGCACGGCTGGGGTCGAGGAAGTGGGCGCCCCGTTTCGACTACATCCTGACCCAGCAGGCGTTTGTGACGGTGGACAAGGACGAGCCCGTCAACCAGGACCTCATCAGCAACTTCATGTCAGACCCTGTCCATGGCGCCATTGAGGTCTGCGCCGAGCTGAGGCCCACCGTCGACATCTCGGTGACGGCCGACGCGGACTTTGTGCGCCCAGAGCTCCGGCAGTCTGCCTAGGTTTGGGGCCGAAGAGTTGTTTTTTGATGGGTGGACAATTCATGGACTGTAATGTATGCGTGCGACTAGCTGTTTGAAGTTGTGAACTGCTGTCAGGTAGAGAGAGGCCCCTGTTGGTGGTGGACTCAGTGAGTCGTCTTCGTTTCCAGAATAATAAAAGTTGGTTCGTCGGGATAGATGTTGCTGTTGGTGTAGCTTTTGCCGCATCTCTCTCGAAATTCACGTACCAGTGGTAACAGCAGACGCTGCCCCGGCCTAGCTTATGGTTTATGGACTGTTATGGCGTTTTTTGTAATTGAAAGATGGCCCTCTCCTATCAACAGTAACATGATGATGTCTGTGTGACGTGGTAACTGAAAACCGGTCAAAACAACCCAGAAAACAAAGGAGGTTTGATATTTGTCTGGTTATCGAAGCATGGGAACCATATGGTTCAAACCTGCCCGAAGCGCAAGCAGCAAAAAAACACAACGAACCAAGACTAAGAATATCCAACCATAGATAACCAATCCCTCTGCAAACTATTATATAAGTGTTTAGATTACTAAAATAATAGTGATCTAAACGCTCTTATATTACTTTACAGAGGGAGTACCAGCTAAGCAAATAAAAGGAAAAACAAGAAAGGAACTGAAGCAGGGCTAAGAAGAGACTCCAACTTGCATCCAACTATATCAACTATACCAGCTAAGCGAAGGAAAAGCAAGAAACGAACTGAAGCATGTCAGAGAAGATCACGAGTAGCTAATTCATGAAGACTTTCAGGGGGGAGCAACTGAAGGATCAACCACCAATCCCAAGGACGCCTGGTCGGTGGTCGCCAACCTTGTGAGGAGCGGTACACCTCATTTGCTACTTGCTCAATGGCGCCGCCTTTCGATTTCTCTCATTTATCTGCAATATAGACCAGCCAGAAATTCAATAGCATATCAGCCTCACTAAGACCATAGGATCACTAATAATTTTCTTCTCAAAGATAACATCATTCCTGCAACCCGACTGAGTCCAAAAAAATAGCAGAAATCCCAACTCGCACCAACTTTTTCTTATCATGCTTTGGAAAGCTTTTAATCCAACTTCGAAAACATTCATTTAGGTTATTATGAGTGGAACTTACATCAAAAGCACATCTCAACAAACTCCAAATGAGTCCAGCAACAGAGCATCGAAAGAAAAGGTGATCAATGCTTTCATATTCCCCACAATAACACACACATTTTGTTACCAAGCCATCCCCTTCTAAGGAGATTATCTTCAGTAAGAATGCTCTTTTTCACCATTAGCCAAAGAAACACTTTAATCTTAGCAGGTATTTCATTTTTTCACAGAATTTCTTAGGGGAATTTCATTCAGGTTCCACCAATTTCTTATAAAGAGATCTCACAATGAACTTTCTATCTGCAGTAAGCATTCATTCAATTTTGTCTTTACCCTTTCCCATTTTAACTTCTTCACATCTCTGTTTCAAACTCTCACACAATTCCAGAGACTCCCCATAAAGAGTTTTCCTAAAGGCAAATCCATTCCAGCCTTGCACCAAAGCATCAACTATAGTGATATTATGATCAAAACTAAGGTCATAAAATCTAGGGTAAAGCATGTTTGAGTAGGCTTTTCTTACAATATTTGATATAAAAGTCTTCAACTTTCAAGAGGCTTGTCCAAAATTGAGAATCTCCCACTTTGGACTCGACCCTAGATAGGCATTTGTTAGGGGCATATTTGTTTGACAACACGCTTTTCCATAAACCAGACTCAGTTTCCAACTTCCAGAACCACTTGGCCAGCAAGGCCTTATTCATAAGCTCCAGATTTAAAATTCCCAAACCACCCCGATCTTTGGGTTTACAACAGGTATTCCAATTAACAAGATATCTTCATCACCTTGCCAAACCATGCTAGCTCTAAAGAAAGCAACCCTTTTCTTACAATAGGAATAGGGTAAAAGGACATCATAAACAAAGGTATATTAGTGAGATAAGCCTGCACCTGAGTAACTCTACCAACAATAGTTCCTATCAATTTTCCTTGCCAACATCCACACCTCGTCTCAGTTTTATCCTCAACCCCTTTCCAATGTTTATTCCTAATTCTAACATTGGACAGAGGCATACCCAGATATTTTAGAGGTAGACCTTCTAACTGACAAGAAAAAATCTCTTGGTAGAGAGCAGTTTTGTTTTTAGCATCTCTGAAGAAGAAGAATTCACTTTAATGAAAATTCATAATCAAGATTTAATTTTTCCTGTGAATTCCAAAACGACTCACCGCCTCACATGTTCAAAATTGTTTGGCCTCGTTTGGTTGATATTTGGGCCAAAGTGAGTACATATGATGAGTTTTTTTTATTGATTGACGATTTGCAAGTTCATGGATACCAAGTGCGCTGGAGATGTTACAATAACTACACTGGTGGTTTTCTAATTTGACTTACCCCACACAAAAAAATCGACATGCATGTCTTTCCACAAATATGGGCATATATTGTGAAATGCACAGAACATGGGGAGTAGTCATTCTGGTGGAAACTCTGGGAATTCACTTGTGATCTTCAATGTATACTGCCTCGGTTTTCAAATACATGTTGGTAAACGGCATTATGGATTAGTACCATGGAAGTAATATTTCTTTTAAACGGCGGCAAACGATTTGCCTCATCCATTAATTAAGAAGAGAAAATAGAGTTTGTTTGAATTACAACCGACCCATAAAACCCCACATGGTGATTACTCTCATGCTACAAGTGCCCCTAGTTTCTTAGCTCCCGCAATGCTCCAAAGCTTGGCCTCTCCAAGAGTGTTGAGTAGAATCAGCAGCGGTGCACTTTTGTTATGGAAGACATGGGAGTTTCTTTCATTCCAAATTGTCCAAGAAACAAGCATGGTGAGGGAGGCCACGACCTTCCAGTTGGGTACGGTCAACCCGGTCCTATGATCCCAACAAGACTTGACGGAGTCCTCCAAGTGCCATGAAGAGATGTCCATATAGTGTAGACCAAGCTTCTCGATTACCAAATTCCATAGCCTAATTGTGAACGACACTTGAAGAAGAGATGCACTCCTGTTTTTTGCTCCCTCTTGCATAGAGGGCAAAGGCCATAATTTGGCCACCCTCGTTTGGCCAATCTATCGGCGGTCCAAACCTGGTTTTGAATGGCTAACCATGCGAAGAACTTGACCTTGGGCGGGATCCAAACTTTCCAAATCATTTGGTCCATGGGGGAGAGAGTCATTCCCAAGAATTGTGCCTTGTAGGCGGAAGCCACCGAGTAGTGCCCATCCGTAGTGTGCCTCCACACAATGTCGTCTTCGGCATGCTCATCAAGGTGGAAATCAAGTAGAAGCATCCACAGCATGAAGAACTCCCTTATGTGGGTGACGGAAACCACGGTGGATGGGTTGATCTTTAATATCCATGCACTAATAACATGTTGAACCATTTTTTCTAATTCTCCACATCACGCCAGATTCTACAACAGTTGTCCTCATTTGAATCTGGTTTAACTTGAAAGTTTTTTGGATTTTTCGCTGCTAACTGGTGTGCGATGTGATGATACTTCAAATTCTTGTTTAACCTGGCATTTAAAAGAAAACGACCAAATGTGGGCTATACTTTAAAATTAATGCAAAGAGTCAACATGGAGTTATCTGGCACCCCCATGATACCATTTTTTGCAAGCCGGTAAGACGACCTAAGGCGAACACCAATTGCCAGGACGCCTAAGCGCCTAAAGCGGCAATTGCAAGGTGCCGCGAGGGCACCTTGCTGCATGTTACGACAAAATTTGGCAGCTTTACCTTAGTCAATGCACATAGTATGTAATGTCACACCTATTTGTTCATATTGTTTTCCACATCGTCTTGTCTACTGACAAATGAAGAAAAAAAATGTTGACTGAGCTGACATGAGTTATTTCCTTAGTGGTTTGTGCCCATGTTGGGGACTATAATTTTGTTAGTTTAGTCATTTTAATGCCTTTGTATACGTCATCTTATAAGGACACATCCTGCAATGTGTATTCATTATGATCACAGTGATGTGTGAGTGAAATCTTGAACCAGAAATAGCAGCTAAGTATCCTGGTGGTGGACAGGGGAGCATGAATCACATTGGACTTGTACGTATAAAACACTGGTGCTTGCGCCATTTTTCAGTATTTGTTTAGAGCTAGCAATACTACTGTACGTCTTAAAGCTGCCTCTTCCCCAGTGAATAGTGCTCCAGTCACCTGTAATGCTACCTGAGTTCTAAACTGCTGTTAATACTTGAGAGATGTAAGTTATGCTTTCGAGCTATAGTTAGCTAGAACTATATTGTACTTGTCTTCTAACACTTCCTCTTAAAAATAAAGTCTAATAATGCTGATATATTCCGCAATAGAGCATCAGAGGATTGAAATTCTATAAACTTGGTACGATGCCACAACCACGACGATCGAGGACTCTGCATCCTGAAATAAGAACAAACATGACAATTAAATATGCATGATCTGTTGGCAAT